GCGCGGGCGAAGCGATGGGCGGACCCGCAGCGAGGCCCAGCCGGACCGTGGAATACTACGCAGCCGCGAAGAGGGACGGAGCTCGGACACTGGCTGCGACGTGGCCGAACCGCGCACTCAGGGTGCCCGGTGACAGACGCCGGACGCGAGAGGCCACAAGTTATCTCGTCCCATTTGTTCAGAGGGACATCCGCCCGGACACGGAGGGGGTCACTGGACGTCAGGGGCCGGTGGAGGGGGTGGGGACGCGTCTGCTTTCGGGGTTGTGAACAATTTCGACAACTGGGCAGTGGTGACGGTTGCAATGCATTGCGAATGTGTCGCATATCCCCCCTCCCCGAGCACTATAAAACCATGTATTGTGGGGTGTGGACGTGTGTGTTGAACGTGGGTGCCCCCCCAACCCCTAATTCCTATGGCGAAGCTCTGCTCTCCCGATGGGGTGGTGATAGGAGTGGGGCCGATGGGAAGGGATCTGGGTGAGGGGAGGTCACGATGATGGGGACCCCGGCATGGCATTGGTGTCCTTATAAGAAGAGGGGACACCAGAGCGCTCTCTGTCCTCCGAGCGAGTACGCAGAGAGAAGGCCACTATCTGTCTGCCAGCCAGGGAGAGGGGTCCCCTTTCTAGGTCATCCGGCCTGCGGTGTTATGTCACCGCCAGAGCCGACTGAGCCGGTGAGTTACAGCTCAATAAAGCGCTTGACAGAAACAGCGAATCCCTTGTTTGCTGCGTGCATGAAATCTTGGCGGTTCAAAACGCCGCTTGCTGTTCCCAGTGAAACGTTTCCTAGGCCTGTCTGAAGACGGAAGATGCTGATAAGCGGAGGACAGCGGAGAGACGGAGGGAGGGGCCGTCCCTCTGGCAGGGCCTCCTCGCTGGCACCAGGCCCAGCTCCGCCTCAGGAAGCCACAGTCGGAAGTATGCAGGGAAACAGCAGGCTGTCCCCAGACCCGCACAAGCCTCCCGCCCAGCCGGGCTTGCGTCCGGCCTGCGCTTGGTGTGTTCCCTGTGGCTTTGGGGAGAGGGGGACATGGGCGGACCCTAGTAGGGCAGCGAGCTGCGCTGGCCCTGCCTCCTCCAGGAGCAGGGCTGAGGTCGCCCACGGCTGCGGGGGCAGGGAGGGGACAAACGGGACGGGAGGTGCTGGCGGAAGCTGGGAACACGGAGGAGCGGCCGGAGGTCCCCACGCACTGGGCGCGTGTGGACGACCAGCACATCTGCTCGGCCAGGCCTGACGCTCCTGTGCCACGTGGCGCCGTGTTTGAGACCACGCCCTAGGGCTCTGTCCTGGTTCTTCTGAAGGGACAGTGGGGCCAGAACAGCCCAGAGAACTTGGAAACGCAAAAAGTGTTCGTCAACACCTGTCGCTGCTCAGGTTACAAAGCGACTGTGCATGACATGGCGTCACTACGCAGGGGAAGAGAAACAGACTTGCGAGGTCAGAGAGGCTGGACCCCACGCGTGCCCGTCCGCGGGATCGTGCGAGTGCGTGTGCCACATCCAACCACGGCAGCCCGCAGCCAGGCCCCCGAAAATCCCTCAACCTCCCTCCACAAGACATCTTCCTGCAGGGTGGGGTGACCGAGAGCGGCAGGGGGCACGTCACGCCGCCTACTCACTGTGCCTCTGGTGCCAGCGGGCTGCGTGCAGAGACGTCTCACAGTAGTGCAACAGGAACTCGTGGTCCGAGTGTGGCACTGTCCCCAGCAGCAAGGGCAGTAGTCCCCGGCCGTCGATCACCCTGCAGGCGGGAGCAGGGGGGGTCAGGGCTGCGGGGCAGGGCACCAGGACAGAGCAGGTGCACACGACCATTACCGCCGGCCGTCGATCACCCTGCAGGCGGGAGCAGGGGGCGTCAGGGCTGCCTGGGACCATTACCACGCTCAGGGTGGCAATTCTGCAAACGTCACCTTCGGCTAAAAGCTCCCTGAGGACCGGCTCGTTCGCCTCAGGCTGCTCCCCTCCCCCCACCCGCCAACACACACACTGATCATAAACGCAGAAACAAGCCGCAGAGACAGCGACACGTCTGTGTCGTTGTCATGCCGATCTGGGAGCTGTGCATCCCCCCACGGGGCAGGGAACGGTGGCCTTTCCCGCCCAGCGCGGGGCACACACGTTCCATACTCATCCTCTCTTCTGCACTCTCCAGACGCTGTCTGCTTCCCAAGGTCCGTCTCCATCCCGCCCAAGTGCATCCTGGGGGTTCCATGCGGTTCCCCCCCATCTCCACGCGAAGCCCGGCGGTTCTGATTGGCAGCCACAGGCCCGCCCACCTCGCTCCCCAGGGACGTGCGCACCTGCTCCGGGACGGATGACACGTCTGCGCTTCTTGGCGACTCGCCCAGCACTCTCTACCTGGCGACCTTGTGCTAAAAATAGGTGCCAGGGACATGGTACTGCCGACTGGGCTCATGGCCAGAGGTACTTAAGTGCCCTTGTGGAAACTGGCCGTCACCCTTTTGAAGGCTTCTTCAATTATTTGGAAAACTTTTTCAGCATCTTGCAAAGTTAGAGAGGCTAGAACGCATGCCTGCGTGTGTGAGGATGTCTCGAAATGTAATCATAAGTACCGATGATCTGTTACTTATATATATGTTTACATATATACATGTAAAACATATCTATATTTTTACAGATGCCATAAAAATGGAGCTTTTACCAGGATACGCTTACTATTCTCCGTCAAGGTAGAGAAGTTACAGCCCTAAGTAGATTTTACTTGGTCTGAATTGCCATGGAAAAGAAGAAATAAGACACTTTGTATCATATATACAATACATACCATGATGTATATTCGCATTACATAATATACTGTTACAGATATATGTTTATGTTGTTTATTATATATTTAAGTATAATGAAGATAATGTCGTAAAATATATGTGTATAGATACACATAGATATTAGTTCACCTCCATGTATGTATATCCGTATACACATACACACTTACGTGTATGTTTATTATATATCATCTTGATATACATACATACGTTTAAAGCCACTCAACGGCGTGTGACTGAATTTATTATGCTTTCTGGCGAAACGCATTTGCAGTAGAGATGCCACACACGTTATTTTTAACGCACATGAGTTAACTTTAAAAATTATTTTAAAAATAAAAAAAAAATCGCAACCAATAACAGAAAAAAAAAAATAAAATAAAAAACAGCAACCAGAGATGTGACATTCAATGAGAGACTATAAAGGTGTGAAATATTGAAATGAGATATTCAACCTGTCTAGGGAGAAGCCGTGAGAATTATAACATGCACATATTATAACACGTGTACCTGTGTGTACACGCACGCATGCATAATTCATATATAGTAAATAAATTACGTGTACCTCTATCTAATTTAAATTTATTTTACTTCTGTGAGCAATGTCTGGAAAACATTTTGAAGAATGTGTCAAGCAAGCCGTTTAGCTGTAAATAATGATCTTTGATCTAGAAATTAAACTGCTGTGGTTTTTACTAAACAGGTAATTATGACGGGGGGCAAAATAATAAAACGGTATTTTTTTTAAAAAAAACAAGGCTAATGTTCTCCTATGAGAGGGTGGTTGAAAAAAAATACTGTAAATTCATTAAATTTTTTTTGTCTATGCAGCAAGATTTCCAAATATATATGCAAACATATGGAATATATGATATTAAATATATAAACATAATAGGGAAGCAGATATAATAATATATAAGGAATGTATAAAATATATACGATATCTACATATGTATAATATATTCGTATCCTATAATGTATGGATTCATTTCTAGGCTAAGATTATAAAATCCTTTTATTTTCTTTGTTTTCTGCCAAATTTTCTCTATGCTTTAAGACGAGAAAAATTGGAATTACACAAAAAATCCCTGCCAGGCGGGGAGAAAAACAGTTGAGAAACAGTTGCCTGTGATGCCTTGTTTGATTTTTCCGCGACGGTGGCCGTTATCGTAACACGGGTCCCCTGAGCACCCAGGAACGGGGACAGGGATATTGTGTGTGTAGAAACGACACAGACACTTGATGCCTGTAGATGACAGCAGCCTTTCTCCAGAGTACCTCTGGCCGTGAGCCCGGTCGGCGGTCCTGTGTCCCTGGCACCCGTTTTTAGCACAAGGTCGCCCGGTAGAGACACTGTCTTCTCGGGTGCCTTACGCCGGGCAAAAGTGACAAGTGTCGGTTCACGCGCAATATCGAATTGCTTTCCTCGGGCTGTTCTGTACCCACCTGTCCTGTGGCACCTGGCCGCCCGCCAGCTCCACTACGGTGGGGAAAATGTCCATCAGGCTGGTGGGCTCGTGGATGACCCGGCCGGCCGGCAGCACCCCGGGCCAGCGCACGATGCCCGGGACTCGGATGCCGCCTTCCCAGCCGCCCATGCCTTTGCTACCTGTGTTGACATGTGGACAGAAGGGAATGTAGTGAAAACCAAAAGCGACCCTTTTCCGTGGCTGACTGAACCTGCCCGCTTGTTTTAAATTCTCCCTCTCCCTCTCTCTCTCTCTCTCTCTCTCTCTCTCTCTCTCTCTCTCTCTCTCTCTCTCATTAAATTCGTCTCCAGCAGAGCTCAGGTTTCATAGAGTTTATAGTCTTTATTAAGCTGGGTGCTGGTCTTCTATGTCACCCGTGAGAAGCCAGTAATTTCCCTCAAGCTTCTTAATTGTCAAACGGCTAATTCTTTGGGACTCTAAAGTGGCATCGTTTCAAGCATAACCTTCCACCCGAGGGTGCCATCCACGTCTGCAAAGTCCGTTTTGCCATAGAACTTTTTCAGGGTTTCCAGAAATCAGGAAGTGGACATTTTTGGGGGGTCGGGTGGGGCATTATTCTGTCTGCCCCACGGGGATTAGGACGTGGGCGTCTTTGAGGACGTTATTCTGCCTACCGCAATGACCATCTCGGTTCCTCTGATTTTCATGGCTCTGCCTTGTCATTTCCAATGCCTCGGCCAGACCTTTTTCCAGGGCACGGGCCCCGGCTTTCGTGGCTGGCTACGTGCTCCTGCTCACAGCTGGGTGACGTTGAGCGCACAGTTCCCACTTCCTGTGCGTGGGCACTGAGGCGTGCCGAATGGGGACGTGGGCGACAGGTCTTTGTGGGACAATAGAGGGGACAGTTTACAAAGGTCTCACAGCACGGGGGGCGGTACTGGGCAGAGAGCATAGACGTGGGTGATACTGAGATCAAAAGGCTGTCGGGGATCAGACCCCCCCACCCCAGGGTGATAAAGCTTTAGGAAGCCGTTCACCTGTGTAATTTAATTTATATGTATGTATGCCCTTTTATGTGGGTAGCAGACTCATGCGTGGTAAATAGACGGCAACGTCAGAGTAAACACATTCTCCGACTACTGTAAAAAAGTCAACTCCTCAACAGAAAAAAAACGTGTCGCACCCCATCATTTGGGGCAGCGTGGTTTGGAATCTGCGTGCTACATCCGATCATGGCGTGCCTGTAATCGATCCAATCCTAGATTGGATGACATGTGGCCAGCGACGCCCATTCCCCCGAGTGCATCGGCCGAAGGGGCCGTGCAAACCCAAGCCTATCAGCAGAAGAATGGATACGTGAGTAAATGTGGCCCATCCACGCGATGGAATACTACTCGGCCGTGAAAAAGACTGAAGCATAGACGCACGCTGCAAGAGGTGCATATGCCGCAGTGCGGATGAATCTGATAAACATCACGGCGAGAAAAAAGGTCGTCGCAAAGGACGCGGCTTCACGTGAGTCCATCTACATGGAGTATTTAGAATGGGGAAATGTGGAGAGGGAGAAGCCAGTTCGTGACTGCCGGGGCTGGGTGCGGGGGAGGAGGGGGTCGATTGCACACGGGCGGCTGAATTCCTGTCGAAGACCATGAAAACATCAGCCATTAAGCCACGGCGGCGGCTGCACCATTCTGTGACTATACTAAAAAAAACCACAGCGAATTCTGCAAACAGAAAAGTCGAAATCTGCACCTGAGAAATCGGGATTTCTGCCCTCAGGACAAAGCAGAGCCCTCGGCCAGCGGCCTTCGCTGTGCCTGTCTCGAGGCGCGTGGCCCCACTGCCGTGGGACGGCTGGGAATCGTCAGACACACGTCTGGGGACCTGCGAGCCTTGCCTTTGTAGATTCCGTTCCAGCCTCCGTGCTGCTCACGTCCGAGCTGAGCCTCGAGGGATCCCCCGTGATCCGACGTGAAATAAACAAGGGTGTCGTGCGTCAGGCCTTCCGTGTCCAGCGTGTGGAGGATTTGCCCTGCAAGGGATCGGGGCGTTGGAGCTGGTCGGGTCCGGACGCCGCATCCAGCCCGATTGGCAGTGCGTGTTTTCGCGTGACGGGCGGGAGCGGGGGTCCAGCTGTGTTTTCCTGAGAACCCAGCATCTAAAATCCGTCCCGGTGTTTGTGCATGCCCCATCCTGTCTGCAAAACGTCCCGGGCGAGCTTCGAGGGTCATGCTACGTAGGGCCACACAGTCAAAAGAATGACATTGGATATGGACGGACATCGCTGAAGAATAGTGTTCAGTGATGGACCTAAGTTACACAAAAGACAGGGCCCCCTCCCGCCTTCTGTCCCTGAAGCATTGTCTACAGCAGCCAATACGTGGCCGCCCCCCCCCGCCCAACCCAGGGGTCCTGGAGGAGCAGTGGACAAAGAGAGGGTGGGAGCCAGCCCCGCGGGGGAACGTGACTCAGCGATGAGAAAGAAGCCAATCTGCCATTCGCGACGACACGGACGGACCTACAGGGCGATGCGTGCAGTGCGCCGAGTCAGACAAAGGCGAATACTACCAGCCCACGGACGTGCAGAACCTAAAAACAAACGCGTGCAAACACGCGGACCCGCGAACAGAAACAGAGTCGACCGGCGCTGGCCAGAGGCGGGGGAGGCTGGGGGCAGACGAGCGTGGTCTAAACGTGCGGATTTAAACAAACGTGTGTTTTCTCTTGGACGGGGAGTTTGCATTTCGGGAGCTATCGATTTACTTCTGCCTGAACAAACAGATTGCATTTTGGGGAACGGCTTTAGGTTGACGGATACGCCGACCCATGTCACCGTCGGTGAGCCAATTCTGATACGCGACCGATCATTCAAGTCCGCAGCTGACGCTGGGCTCACGCTCGGCGTTGTATCGTCCGTGGGTTTTGAGAAATGCATAGTATCATACGTGCACCGTTACGGTGTCATGCGGAATAGTTTTCCTGCCCTACAAATCTCACGGTCTACCTGCTGACATCGTTACAGTAATGTTCACTTGAAAAATATCATACATTTGCTTGACTGGGCTTTGAATCGGGACAGCAAGTGAGTCCCTTGAAAAGATTCTTGAAACGTATCTTAGGACGGATAAGGGGTCCTCGGCGATGGTACGGCTTCTCACTCTGTGCTGTCAGATTCCTGCTTTACCGTTTCGTCGGTATTAGATTACAGAGACCTGCATGTTTATTCATCTGAGACCATTTTTCCCCCCCGCACTGTGAATTTCAATTTGGAAAACACCACCTTTGGCGTCCCGTGAAACAGCCTACATTTTCCAGTGGGTGCTAATCTTCTCCCTCCAAGGACCCTTCGTGGCGATGCCGGGTGACTCTGTGCCGAAGGGGGACGGGGCCAGGCGTACCGGGAAAGGGAGCCGAGGCGAATCATTCCAACGCCCACCGTCTTTCTCAACGGTTTCTCCCCTGTCCCTCCCGAGGGGCGAAGGGCCGCCCCGTCGGGACCCGGACGACGCACTTACCCACCATCCAGTCCATCTCCTCCACGCAGTCCCCGTACGGGCCGTGGTGGCTCCTCCCGAGGAACTTCTCGGTGGAGAGGAGAGGTGTGTGCACGTGCAGGAAAGACAGGACGAGGAGGAAAGGTCCTTCCCTGTTTCTGAGAACAAACAGGTGCCGGGCATTGTTGTTATTATTAATCATTATTATTATTATTATCTTTGTTTTCATTATCATTATCATTATCATTATTATCGTTATCATTATTATCGTTATCATTATTGGCAAAGCACGGGGCGAGTTCCCCGTGGAGCCGCACAGAGACCTAAACTGTGCCGTCTCGACTCAGAGTCCGGTCTGCGACGCTGTCCTCCGGGAGTCCACGCGACTGGAGCGTGACGCCTTTCAAAGTCCTGAAACCTGCGCGCCGACTTTCCAGGTCTTGTCCCCCGCACGTTCGCATCGTCCGACTCTACGTCCTTCCGACAAACGGAAGGAGGAGGGGGCAGCAGGTGACGGTGCGAGATCTCACGTTTATTCGTGCCGGCACCGCGGTGCCGGGTACGTCCACCTCGACCCTGAGCTGGTGGAGTCAGCGACATGGACATTCGGTTTTCTTCGTAATTTGCTGTCAAGGCATGAAGTTTAGGACGTGGGGTCGCTCCGAAAAAAAAAAAACATACTTTGAAATGACGCGGATTAGGGGAGGCATTTTCATTTGATCCCCCTGTTCCCGGGCTCCGCCGCATCCGGTCCTCCGTCTAGCTGATCTTTAGGGTCTAATCCATACATCTTACAGATGTTCGTTCTTATTCGCTGACATTTCATGCTAATTCTTAAACTGAAGAAGCAGAGGGGACGGTCTGAGACTTATATAGGGCACGTCGGACTCACCTCCTTTAATTTGCAAGCTTCACGCCTGACCCATATTAGGCAGTTCCCTCAATGCTATAAGAATGTTCTCGAACACGGTGACCACCGTGGCGCCACCAGGTAAGGTGGGAATCAGTGGTGGCAACCACTTTAGTGGGACACGCTTGAGGAGCAGGGAGCGGCCTCTGCTTAGTGTGGCTTTTTGTCACTTCCGGGCGGGATGCAGGAAGTGTCCTCGTCCCTCAAATTTACGTCCGGTCCGAAGCTGGCTGCGGGACATCTTGGGTAGCCCCGATGGCGGAGTCGTGAAGGCTTTGGGAGCTCACCGTGCAGACTCTTCAGGGGGATCGTTATGTCCTGTCTGGTGAATGTGATGTGTGCTCCTTGTGGGATGTCTACGGGACGGGACTGACCCTCAGGGAGGAGGAGATGACAGGACATCTCATCTGACGGGTCCCTCAGTTCCCCGACCACGATGTAGTCGGGCTCGACTAAGCATCGTCCGCGACTAAGCATCGTCCGCGGCCGGGGAGGGGGGCCGTGTCCCCGTGTGCATGCCGGTGACGCCAGGCGTTCCCGAATGCGATTCCGGGAAACAGGGCCGCAGGAGGAGGCCGGGCCTTCGACACTCACCGCCTGATGAAGGCCGACGCCTCCTGCAGGACGAGGGCCGTCGTCCGGGGGAAGTGCATGGGCTGTTGGGTGACTTCGTGGTTGCGCATCAGGAAGCAGTCCGCGTGCACGATCAGTGCGCCCAGGAAGTACGAGGCCGCGGACAGCAAGGCGGCCGCCAGGGCGGCCCCAACGGCCAGCACCCAGGACCCAGGCAGCAGGTGGGACGCTGCGCCCGCGGCCAGCGTCAGGGCGGCGAGGGCGGCCATGAGGGCGTAGAACTCGAGGCGGCGCTGCAGCCCCGCGCGCTTCTCCGACAGCCCCCCGGGCACGCAGTCCCCCATCATGGACAGCGGCAGGCCGTAGAAGTGGTCAAACCCGTGCCGGAGCGGGTGGTGGCAGTGGTCGTCACGATGCTCACAGCTCAGGCCCAGATGCCACTTCCCTGAAAGGCAGAGAGCACGGGGAAGTGCCTGGCGCTGGGGATGTTAGGGTTAGGGTTAGGGTTAGGGTTAGGGTTAGGGTTAGGGTTAGGGTTAGGGTTAGGGTTAGGGTTACGGTTAGGGTTACGGTTAGGGTTAGGGTTAGGGTTAGGGTTAGGGTTGGCTGCGTGCTCGTCCCCGCCTAGCTGGGCAGGGCGGGGGTGCAGGCGACCGGCATAGAGTTCGCTGGCGTCCGTCTCAGGGGAATGGGGCTCTGTCTGGCAGCAGCACCCGCCGCATAATTCCCTCTGCTCTTCCATGGAATTACGACAACTTGGGGACTTAAAACACCATGAATTCATGTTCTCAAAGGAGTGGACACTGGAAGTGTGACGTCCAGGGGTCCCAGGGCCTCGCTCCCTCCGGAGGCCCCAGGGGACGGTCCTTCCTGCCTCTCCCGGCATTGGGGGGCTCTGGGCGTCCCCAGGCTGGTGGCCCCGTCCGCTCCGTCTCTGCCTCTGTGGTCACACTATGTTACCCCCGTTGCAATCAAACCTCTCTGTGTCTCCCTCTTCAAAGGAGCCTCGTCCTGGCATATAAGGCCTCCCGAGTACCCCGGGGACCATCCTCACCTCAAGACCCTTCACTTCATCGCATTTGCAAAGACCCCTTTCCCAGGTCAGCTAACACTGGCCGCTGCCGGCATTTAGGATCTGATATCTCTGGTGACCGTAATTCAGCTTCCTTCAGCTGATTTTGCCACGGCCTAAGGCAGAGCAATGACGAAGGCACCAGAAACACTCAGTCCCACAAAGTCGGCATAGGCCAAAGTTGTCCTTTGGGACTGTCCCCTCACTTCTAATCGGCTAGCACACTCCTCGGGGGGGTGGCGGCTTTTACAGACTTCGACCTTCACGCTCAACCAGGGAGACAGGCTGGGCTTTGCCGGTGTTACACCTGCCGCATCGACAAAAAGACCCGTCGCCCAGGAAACGTCACGCGATTTCCCGAGGAATGTTCCACATGGGTCGATGGCTCTGTCTTACACAACGATAACGGGTCTACGGGGCTTTCTAGTCAGAGAATCGGCTGGCCTTGCTCGCCGTGACGAGTGACTGCTACCGCTAGTAACAACGTGACCACAACGTCATCTCCTTTCGAGAAGCTAGAGTCCTTCATGTCATTGCATTGTATGCGTGACGCGGTTTGTGGACCTACAGAGAGATAAGGGTGCTATTTATAGAAGCAGAGAACGAGGTGCTAGCCTTGCAGTCTTATTTCTATTGAAAAGAAAAAAAAAAATAGAGAAAACAGCATTATGGGAATAGTTGGGAATCGGGTCAAATTACAAAAACACGTTTTTTCTTCATGCCGTGTCAGAAAATCATATGAAACGCCTACTATGCCGATGCCGCCCTTCAGCACCTCCTTCGTGCCAAGCCCACCTGGGGAGCGACATCCCTCCTGCGTGGAGCTTCGCGTCCGGCGGAAAAACCTTTCGGCTGAGTGATATCGCCCCAGAGACGCGATGCGCGCAAAGCTCTCAGATGCACGTACCTATCAGTCCCGTGGCGTAGCCGTGATCTTTCAGTATTTTCGCGAAAGTTGTCTCGTTGGTGGGCAGACCGCCCGACACCGCAGCCCACTGCAGCACGCGATGGCCGTCGCTGGAAACCATACCTTCGGATCGACCGTTTGAAACAACAGTTACCCTCGTCGCACATGGGTTTGATCTTTAGTATCACTTTTAAGTTTAGACTCTTGGGCAAACATCTCCGCCACTCGAAGTTAAATCGGAAATTTTTTACTTCCGACTTGGCTGTGCCTCCTGGATCACATGCTCAGCGGCGAATAAAACGACTCGTTAACTAAATAGAAAAGGTCGTGCGGAGACGTTTCGCTCTGCGATGTGAAGGAGATAAACGGGAGAATTGAATGAAAAGGCAGGGTAATTAAAACGGGTTTTCTGATCTCGCCAAGCCGTGTACATAGCCCACTGGCGCGCAAGCTCGTCTGCACAGTGAATCCTTGGGGGTCCTTCAAAATATTCCGACACGCGCTTTCCACTGCACGGACTGCGATTTCAGCTGGTCTGGGGAAGGGTTTGTGATCCGGGACGGTTGCAAGACCCCCCCGCCTCCTCCCCTCCAGAGAATTCCGATGCGGTAACACGTTTCTGTGTTTTTACGCAGTTGGGAACAATTGAAAAGCAGAAGTGTGCGTGCTGGCCTGGGAGAGCGTGTGGCGTTCTAAGGTCGGTGTCCGTTGGGTGCGTGCGGCCTGTAGATGTTTGCGAGTGACGTCGAACTGCAGAGCTCGCCACAGGGACTATGCAACGGGGGCCCTGAAGCCTGAGCCCACTTCATATCTGGCCCTCCCCAGAAAAACCTTTGTCAGCCCTTCCTGATCGCGCTACCCACGTCAAAGTCGACGATCAAATCGGGACACCCCTGCCTGTGTCACCTACTTATCTCTGGGGTCCCGTCCCTTACCGAATGCGCCCGGATGGCAAAAACATGGGGGGGGCTTAGACCTCCCTTGTCCGCTTCACTGGTGGACCCGCGCTTTGGTGCCTGCCCGGGACGAGGCAAAGGGAACGCGCTCCCGGGCAGCCCCACGCTTCGGGCGAACGGAGGACGAACCTGATCGCACAGGGTAGCGGCCCGTGAGGAACGCCGCTCGGCTTGGGGTGCACACCGAGGCCGCGGCGATGTGCTGCGTGAGCCTCACGCCCTCCGCGGCGAGGCGGTCGATGTTCGGCGTCCTGCGGAGAGAAACGTGAACAGCTTATTCCTGATCTCTCTCTCTCACACACACACACACATACACACGCACACAGCGTTTTGCATAAAGAAAATGTGCCTGTCATCGTTGAATCTGTGAGGTTTTTTTAGAACATGAGCAAAGGTCGATCGGAAAGAATTCTCAGTGTCTTCTGAAGCGTCGGGGAAACAAGTCAATGGGACCGTATTGACTAAGTGTCTGCAGCGTGCTATTGGGTTCGGACGGAGCTGTGGGAAATGCAGGATCGAGGGGCCAAGGTGCCTGCTCAGTCGGGGCTCACAGTCTCCATCAAAAGACATGAGCTTAAGGCACCGACACGTTGTCGGTGGCCCGTCAGGAGGGGACTGGGACACAGCTTCACGGTGCTGCCCGAGCTGGGTGTCCGAGGACCGTGAGGATGTGGGCGAGCTGAGGGGCTGGTCGTCACAGGGAGGGACTCGCTATGACAGGCGGGCACGTCCTATCTCGGGATGACGAGGACCTGGGCTCGTCCGTCTCGGTTACAGCTTTCCAGCAGCGAGTGTTGACGCCGTGCACGGGTCAGTGTGTTCGGCTCAGTGGATGGAAGTTTGGGGGCGGGATGAGGTCGCTTTGGCCTTTGGCTAAGGGACAAGTAGGATTTTAAAAACGTTGCCCGTCGCGGACGGTGGTGCGGGGCAGCTCGCTTAAATACCAAACGATCGCGGACGGATATGTGGAGTGAATTTGAACTCGGCTTCACGCCGTTGTGAGGACGAGGCAGGGTTCGGGGTGTTAACACGATGCGTTGTCTACAAATCCGGTCAGGTGTGGGCCTCGACTCCTTGCCTTAGGGTGCCGTTCCCATAGCAGCCGATGTCCCCGATGCCCAGGTCATCCGCCAGCATCAGGACGATGTTGGGGCGCGAGCCCGATAAATCGCTCCCCGCCGAAGGCTGCCAGCCCAGGATGACGCCGAGGGTCACGGCCAGCCAGCTCCTGAAAGAGAACCTAGCAAAACGATGCTTCGTCCTGCCTTCTCCGTCCCTCGCGTGGCTTCTGCAGCTGGGACGTTGGGGTCACTGCTTGAGGGACGGTGGTATTATCATCCCACCGCTAAAGACGTTGAGTTCGTCTCTTAAGCATGGGGTTTATTTTTTCATTTCGGTTAAAAGCAGCCCGTAGTCTTACGGATGGCAGCCTGGGCGTGCCCACAAGCAGCAGGACAATAACGTTCCGGTCCCCAGGGTCTGGGGCTCAAAGGAACGTGTCTAACGTGGGATCCTGGGAAGATCAGAGGCCTCCGTAGGCGGGGGGCGGGCTTGGGGCCTACGCGGATTGGGAAGAGCGAAATGGGGTTCCTTCTGCTGCTGCGTGGGTCACACCCGGGGTAGGGGACCCTGGCTCAGCTCTATTGCTCATGAGTCGCAAGCCTGGACACAAGATCCGTGCCCCACGGAGGGAGACCGTTCGGTCACCGATGCCTCCTGAGACAGCGGCCAGAGGGAAGGCGGGGGCCGGAACCGGGGCCCGGGACGGCGCGGAGGCCCATCTTACCGAGGGTGTTCCGGGCGTAGCATCTCGTCCGTTCGCTTTGTCCTCCTGGAACAAAGAAAAAGGGTCGTGACCACGTAGGCAGCGGAAAACGAACTCACTCCCCGAGTGAAATAGTAAATCCGCGATGATCTGATCGATCAGACCTGGACACAGCGACTAAAAGCTCAGAGAAGTTTGCTCTACGGGACGAGAAACGCGCCAGGAGGGCTGAACAGCATGATGGGAGTGAACGAGCCGTGGCTCCCAAGGGCTAGAGGGTCGATATGGGGGGCTTTTCCGCCTGGGGTCTGCTCAACGCCGCCGCTTCCCGGCTCCGCTCCGTGTCGCGAACGCAGCTGTCCATCTGTCTACAAAAACGTACGTACAGGGTGTGCCCCAGACTATAGATATCCGATCCTTGATATACAAGGCCCAAGTATAAAATCAAGAAAAGGCCAAACCGAGTGAGGAGCGGCCCTCGATTCAGCGCCCCGACCGGGCGCAAGGGTCCGGTTCGGTGGCGCTCACGAGGTTCACGTCACGGTGCCACCCTCCCTGCCACCCTGTCCAGAATTTTTTGTCCGATCTTGCAAAACGGAAGCTCTGTCCCCGTGCAACGGCAACGCCCCGGCCCCTCCCCCAGCCCTGGGCACCCCCCGCGTTTTAATTCCTGCCTCTACGGATTTGAGAATCACACTGCGCTTGTCGTTTTAGGACGGGCCGATGTCGCTCTGCAGCGTGACCTCCACGTTCATGCACGTGGCGTCTGTCAGAGTTCCCGTCTTTTTCAGGGCTGAATAATATTCCACCGTGTGGACGGACCGCATGTCGTTGGCGTCCGGTGTATTATAAATGGACAGAGAGGGTGGAGGGCGACAAGGGCAAGGTCAGCGCCCACCACGTCGGCCGCATCGGCACCTGCAGCTGTACTTGGACCTAATAAAGTCAGCTGAACCCAGGAAAACAAAACAAAACAAAACATGTATATTTATCTGCACAATGTCCCAAGCTGCTTCTGTGTGCGAATTGGAACTTGGGCTCATTTTCTACTTCTGTTTCCCTAGAAACGCAACAGAGGCAGAATGTCAGCTGATGGCTGGGTGACACCGGGCGTGGTTAAACGCTCCTTCCGGTCGGCTTGCCCGTGGCCGGGAGGGCAGTACGTGAACGTGACCGAAGCCGGCTCTGTGTGTCTGGGGGACAGTGACCGCCCTGCAGACGGGGTGACCTGGAAGCTCTGCTCGCGAGGAGATGGTGGCGTCCATGGTGGGTGGGTTCTGAGCTGGGGACAGAGGTGGCCGTCTTGTGGGTGTCACCCTCTGCCACCCGAGCTGGTCGTCGGGAAGGTTCACCCTGGTCCTGGCTGGCTGTGCGTGCGGTGACGTGGGCCGCTGGACGGAGGAGATGTGCCCACTTGCCTTCCGAGCCAGCCTATGCCGTGTCCTTGACCTTGGTGGTCTCTGCACGTCAGCCCTGGGGGCGTCATTTCCAAGCTCCCTGACCATCGTGCGTGACTTCTGACACCTTCTGAAGCTGCGCTGTCAGCAGCCTGGACCGGACGAGCAGCCTCTGACTGCAGCTGGGACAGGGCACAGACCGGGCAGGAGAAGGCCCCACGGGACAGCTTCATGTGTGTGGCCATCGCATCTGTAGCTGGGACATGTTCACGGGAACCAAGACTGAGGGGTGCCAGCCCTCCTGGTGAACCCCCATGTGGCTGGGGAAAACGTAGCTACATGTCACAGGGCTGTCCCCTTACACACCTCAAGGAGGACCCTCGGAGGGTGTTGGCCGTCCTGCGAGGTGTGTATCCCATATAGATTATGCAGGATACAACATCTTACACGCTATCCAATACGTAAGACACATGTAGTTTGCCGATCATATAATTCTATAATATCCTATATAGATAAAATTTTTCCTTTGTACCTACTTTAATTAATTTTTATTTAGCCAAAGCATATTACGGGCTGCTTCTGATTTTTCCAGGGAATGTGCCTGGTTATCCTCATTATATCATTTGGGGTAGACTTGGGTCTTTCTCTGTGACCATCATCATGGAAAGGTCACGTGAGGCTTCGGGACATCAAACGTTGGCCTCTGCCTCTCCAACGATAAATCCTATCTATTTAGCTGCACGAAAGGAGCCTGGGTTCTGATTCCAATGGATTCAGCCCTTTATGCCTGGACGTTCTGCGGGCTTTGCTTCGGATTGGCTGCTGGGTCCCAGATGAAAAGTTCCACAAGACAAATACAGAAAAATGGCAGACAGCACAGATGTGGGGTCTGGGGCCGGGGCCCGGACGCCGGGGGAGGGGTCGTTCAAGGACACGCACTTGTCACCAGCTGGAAGGGACTCTGCGGATCTAATGGCCGCACAGAGATGACGATCCCAAGACACCGTGTCATCAGCCTCAGCCGCGGTGACAGGAAAGATCTTACTTATTCTCACCGCCCTCCCCGACCCCGCCGCAGCGAAGGCCGGGTCTGCGTCTTTGCCAAAAGACGAGGCGTCGGCCGGTCCGTGGGCGCCCCGTCCCCCAGGCCCCGCGCGGACGCTGGGCCGCGGTCCCAAACCCAGGCTGCTCTTTAAGCCTCCAGGAGGACGCAGGCCACACGCTCTGAAACCCGTAAGACCCTGGGGTGCTTCTGCTCCGTGCACCCACCCTGTCCAGGGCACGTCACCCTGCGTTCCTTCCAGAGACCACGAGGGCCAGATGTGTCACGGATACGTTCGCTTTTCATGTCTAAGATGCTTCTCTTCTAAAGCATCTGCCAGAAGACGCGGTGTGTACCGTGTGACAGACAGAGTGCCGCCCGCGGCAGCCGCGCACCCTCCCCAGATGTCCCTACGCGCCCAAGAAAAGCCAGCTGTTGTTACCTGGGTGAGCGCGCCGTCACGGCGGGGCCAGCCGGAGGTCAGCGGGGTGGGGACGTTGGCTGGGACGTTGGCTGCTGTGGCTCTGAGAGACAGACTTTGCCTGGCCAGCGGACAAGGACCCACTGGCCGTGACCGGCGGCTCTCGGAGGCCGAGCTCCCTGTTCAAAGGAATCAGAAAATGCAGACAGGCCAAGTGACGTCTCCCAGTGAGCGGGCGCCCACACGAGACGTCTGTTCTTCTGTGCTGAGTGTTTCCTGACACAGGACGGATGGCGGCGGCTCCTTCTGTAACACAGACTGCTTTGTTCGTGAGCTGGCTGGAAATCCCAGGTGGCCTTTGCAGGAGGAGGGACATCCGCTGGCCGTGCTGCAGCCGGGGAAGTGGGCGGCGTGGACGTTCTGTGATCGGCCCTCCCTCCACCTCCCCACGCCTCTGGCATGGGCCACAGACAAGAAAAGACAAGAAACTCGTCTCAGTGGAGCCGCAGCGCATCGCGTGCCCGAAAACTCAGGTCGGGCTTTTCAAATGACATTTTTTCCCTTTTTTATTCACGAATGAGCACATTTTTTTTTTTTCATATGGTAGCAGAACATATACTTCAGTCAGCGTCAGAGGGGAAACTCATTCCTTTCCGGAGATTTTTTTTTATTTTCTGACGTAAGAACTTCCTGACTGCGTCTGGTTGTTACGCTTGATGCCCTGGACGTGACAGGCTTTTCATGTGAGACTCACTTTGCCCACTGACCACTTTACAGCTGCGAGTTTTTTTTTTTTTAATGAATGTAACGCATGGAAAGAAGGAAGCTCAGGATCCGTTCACGGGTGCGTGCCACGTCTGCCACGTGGGACAGCGAAGGGCAGAAAGCTGTGGCAATCATTTGGACACAGGTTCCACCAAAACAGACAGATAAACACACAAACAAATCCTCCCAGATACGAACCTCTCAGACCATATCAACACGGCTGGGGGTCCCCGGTTCGACCCACCTTTCTGCACTCAGCGTGTAGACAGTGCTCTCAGCCACCAGCCTGCTGACGTCTGGGCTGGTGGCTCTGATGTGGGGGTGCTCACTGTAGACGCCGCACACACAAGGTCACGGTGTGCGTGATTCCGTTTACGTGCAATCTCCAGGACAGGGTCAGCCACAGAGGTCTGTGCTGGAGGCAGTACATGGATCAGTGGTGTCCAGGGGCTGGGGGAAGGGTGGGGGTGACCGCTGATAGCTGCGGGGTCCCCGTTTGGGGTGGTGGCAGCGCTTTGCAGGCTGACACGGTGGGTGCCTGATATGGGACGGTAGTCAAGCCCTCGGACCGCATCCTTTACGACGGTCCCCATGATGCATCTGCGTGGCGTGCATTCTATAGCCATAAAAAAATCAACCAGAACAGGACGTGGGGGTCAAGCTATGTGCTGGAGAACAGCTGGAGTCCAGTTGAGAACATGACCCGAATTTCGTCCCGCGTCAGTGGTCAGGTCTCTGACCGCAGCGGACGCGAGCCGGTCCGCTCGCCAGCCTGCTGCCTGCGGTCCGCACAGAGCCCGCATGCTGGAATGTGACGCCTGCCTGTAACGAACACACCTGATCGTCTTGTCTCTGAAAAGAGTCAGGTTGCCATCAGGTGAGCTTCACACGTGGACGCCACCTCCTCTCCCTGCACACGGCGGAGCGGGCTGCCCAACTGGACGCACCGTGCACAGCGGAGCACAGACTCCGCCGTGAGGTCAGGGTCCTGCAGACGATGACCGCTCCCGGGCCCTTCCGCACAGCTCGTCGATGTCGCCTCTGACCACGGGGCTGCTGCCGGAACGTTCCGGCAAGTATGGTTGTTTCTGTCACCGCTTCATGCACGGGACTCGTGGATCACAGCAGCCATGTGCCGGGCAGAACGTGGAAGCCATGCCCGGTGACGCCACCTGCCATCTGTGTGGCTTTGAGGACGTCGCAGTAACTGTCTGCTTCTCAGTTTCGTCAGAAATGACACCCAAAGCTCCTAGGACAGGGTGGGCTCGGCGCCCAGGAGCCCTCGGGCCGGTGGTTCCTCGTCCTCGGGAGCTGGGACATGGCAGGAGCAGCCCCCGGCTGTCTGTGACAGCGCACTCTGGGCTTAGCATCCCCGGAGAAATGCTTTTTTCTGCTGCTCTGGAATCAGCTCGTGGCGTGTGTTGGTGTTGGGTCCTTCGGGGCTGTGTTCTGCGTGACCGTGTGTCTACGCGTTTTATCCGTTCCTTCCAGGATGAGCTGCGGCCTCCTACCTTCCCTGCTCAGGCTTCCGCTGCATCTTCCGGTCCAGGGAAGATGCTCTCCCTGCCGGCAGCATCTGCGCATCTTCTAATTCTAGGCTGGGTTTCCCGATCGCTCCCTCGGGCTCTCCCATGCCCAATGCAAAAAACATCTTCTTCTTCGTGATCTTTTTCCTAATGCTTTTCAGTTACTCGGAGACATGCTGGATCGGGCTCCAGACCACGGCAACCGAGCGACTCGCCCCAATCGACTGGTTTCCCAAGGCACGAAGAAGTCCTATTTGCACCACACGCGAGTCTAAGTGCGCAATAGGATCATGTCTAAAAAGAACAATGTCGGTCCCTGAATTAAAAAGACCGGATTGCTAAGAAACGCTAACCGCCATCCCAGACGATTGGAAAAATGGTGCCCGTAGTCGGGCCTCATGCCCGGTCGCCAGGAAACTTCAATTTGCAAAAAACGCAGGATCCGTGAAGCACACACGGCGAAGGACCATGTAAGGTGACATGGCCCGCAAGCCTTGCCGACAGAAACGTCTCGTTTCCCCGAAAATCATGGCGTTCTGGCTAAAGTCGCGTCGTCGGTTGATGGCGTCAACGTCTCGTCGACGACAGTTCTCCTATGGGGGTCTCTCCTTGCCCTCAGCCAAACACCCCCACTCACACATGCGTCATCGGACTGTACTAAAGGGTGGAATTAAATAGAAAAAAAAGAGGCTTGTGACGGCAGCGTTTCGTGGGGAATGTCTGAGGAAATCTTGCAGGAAGGGCGTCTCATTATCATAGTATTCCCACCTATAAATGCAGCGAGAGACGCCCGCCCCCAGACGTGTGGGTTGAGGTTTGGCGAAGCCATGTTTATAAGGTGCGTTTATCATTCTAGAAGCTGGAATCCACACTTGAAAGTGGGCAGTAGTGTTTAAAACGCTGAAATTCACCTCGTTGCAATTCAAATTCACCTCGTTGCAATTCTATGGCCTTCTCACTCATTTTAATGTCTCACTGTAGCCTTCGGTTAAGTTTTCAGAAAATATCTTGGCAGAAAACAGATACACGATTTCATTAAATCCCCTTAATTATAGATGTGTGTGTGTGTGTTTAGCGCCAGTTGAAAGGCTCGGCTGGTTGATTCCTTTCCTAAATAACTATGTAACAGCCTTTCCGTCTAAGTATAAAAGTAATTGAGAAACTCCAGCGGAGCCCAAACTTGCTACTTAATAACTATTTAATTACAATAATGAGGACAGTAAGTTAGAGCTGTGGCCGGAGCTGGGACTTGCAGGACTAGTGTCCACAAATGCAGGACGTGGAGGAACGGCTGGTTTCACGTAAGCGAAATACGTTCATTTTACTAGAATTCCAATTTGGTGCGCTTCCATCTTTAAGTGATCAACAGGGTTGAGTGAATACTTATTTATTTTATCAAATCAGCGCTCTCTCTCTCTCTCTCTCTCTCTCTCTCTCTCTCCTCTTTTTCCTTCCCTCCCTCTCACGTTTCTTTTACATTTTCCGGAATTTTACGTAAATGGAATCATTCAGGGTACTCGTTTTTCTGGCTTTGTTCACTCAGCTTCGTCATTTAGAGATCTGTGCCTGATGGTGTTTCTCTGACACCTCCTTTCTTGTTGCTGCTGAGTAATATTCCCCTGGACTCTGGCTGTCCCAGAGCTGGCTCATCCATTCGCCTGTGAGTGGATGGTTGGGGTGTCAAAGCCTATTAAGGAGCAAGTGGGTTTTATGCATTTAAGGACATTTCTGCCATATTCTGAAAGATAAGTAAGCAGGGCAGTCAAATTTCAGTACAGGTAAGTTTGTGAGCCTCAAAATGTGTCTTTTATTCACTTTTTTCAGAGGGTATTTGTTATAAGCCTGGAAAGAAGCTACACAGCTTGTACCGCTGGAGTCACTGTTAACAATCATAGGTAGACATGGAGCATAACAATTTTGCTGATCGAGACACGAGGCTTCCGGTCTCTAAATTGATTTCATAATTTAATCTTCATTAGTGGAATTTTTCTCAGTGAAAGCAAGGGATGGAGGGCTGGAGTCTGCCTCAGTGGGAAAACTGGCTTTATATAAATTATTAGGAAGAAAAGGAAGATTTTATCTATCTATCTATCTGTCTGTCTGTCTGTCTGTCTATCTATCTATTTATTTATTTAGGCGAGGCAACCCTTGGCTGACCTCACTGATTACAAGGACTTTGCAATCTCTTATTTTTTATGTTTTACGCCTACAGCACCCGGTCTTCCTAGGTGGTCTCCCATGCAAGTCCTAACCAGGCCTGACACTGCTTAGCTTCTGAGATCAGACGGGATCGGGCTTGTTCAGGGTGGCGTGGCCGTAGACTAGGAAGATTTTAAATAACAGATGTATTTAAAAATTTCCATAACATCGAGTACTCTCTTTTGTCTCTTACTGTAATAGTGTTCGAAGAATTATTAACTGTCAGGCAGTTTGGAAGCAGCCTGGGAATTCATGTGAATCTCTTCCATAGATAGATGATAGATAGATAGATGATAGATAGATAGATAGGGATTATCTTGCAATTCCTCACTTACGCAAGAGCTTTCATGTGAGAGCTTTCATGTGAAAGCTCTCGCGTAAGTGAGGAATTGCATGATAATGCCATAATCCAACTTGTTCAGTTTTAGTAGGGGAGTCGTGACACGAAGCAACGTGGAAACTGGTCACTCTTAACTACAATACATTTAAGTAAACAATAAAATCGCAGGGTTTATATTTTAAATCAACAACTGTATGACCGAGAAAGTGAGAATCCTGCATCATTAATAAACAGCATCAGGTATTCTGCAAGGCGGTAACTTCCCGTGAGTCTAGTTCAGCAGATCTCTCTGCGGAGAGACGATAATTTGGTTTGCTGGGGGACATTTTGTGATGTTTGGGGACATTGTTTGGTTGTCGTAACTGGGGAGGGGATGCTATCGGCACCTGGTGGGTGGAGACGAGGGATGTTACTCGATACCTTGCAGTGCATCGGATGCGCACATCGGAGAGTCATCCAGCCCCGGACATCAGTGGTGTGTGACATCTGACTGAGCATGAGAGATGCTGTCTGTCATCCATCCATCACCTATCTATCATCTATCTATCATCTATGTATCTATGTATCTATCTATCATGTATCTATCTAT